CAACGTTTATTTATTTTTGGGACAGAGAGAGACAGAGCATGAACGGGGGAGGGGCAGAGAGAGAGGGAGACACGGAAACAGGCTCCAGGCTCCGAGCCATCAGCCCAGAGCCTGACACGGGGCTCGAACTCCCGGACCGCGAGATCGTGACCTGGCTGAAGTTGGACGCTTAACCGACTGCGCCACCCAGGCGACCCAACAAATCGAATTTTCTAATCCAATCGGACCCCAGGACTGAGTCCAGCAGGGGAAGAGCTCCTGGCTTCAAGGACAATGAAAATAATAGGTATCAAGTGTCACGGTCTATTCTGAGCACTTTGAAGAAGTTATTTGAACTCTTTTGTTTCTAAAGCATAGGGTATGAACAGAGTGTTCCTGGGGTATGACCTGTCTTAATCCCGTAGCAGACACTTAGGGCCATGGGTCGTGTTGTGCCCAGGAGGAGCACAGGATTTCTCAGTAAGAGAGGTGTCCGTGGATTCCATAAAAACACTGCGTGTGTTTTGTGTTTGTGACCTGTAGGGTCCTTTAGAGCATGGGACACAGGGCAGGGGTCCCTCTTGCTCAAGCATAAGGATAGAATTTAGAGTTCAGGAATATTGTTATCTCCTATTTTGCAGATAAAGAACTTGAGCCACAAGATTAAGAATTTTGTTCAGAGTGACACAGATCGCTAATCAGAGACAAGGTTTATAATCCCAGCTGTGTTATCCAGGAGCCTGTGCTTTTAGCTGCTTTGCAATATTTCTGCCTTAGATGCTCCTGACTGGTTATTACTGCATTTTATATCCCTGTACACACACATTCTTTGGGTCACAGGAAGCCGCAATTCTGCTATAAACACGTGTGTCCATTCTCCGCTTTTTTTCTGCCCCGCATTCATTGTTCATTATCTATGGCCATCCATGAATTCAACGTAATGGTGTGCCTACTCCATCCCAGGGACTCTCCTAAGTTTTGAGGAAGTTTTGAGACACACAAAGTCTCTGCCCTCAAAGAGTTTTCATTCTATAGGAAGGAGGGAAAGAGAGAATGAAAATGTATGTACAGAATAGATACCTGTTTTTTTAATCATTTTTATTTTTTACCAGAGACACTTTGACCTTAGGCAAAATTTACCTAGAACACTAATATCATATATCAACATATCAGAAAGGATACTGGGGGGGGGGCAAGTGCAGAGCCCAGAGAGCAAGCCGCCAGCAGTCTTCTGTCCTCCTCAGCCCCCCGCAGTCCTCGAGGCCTCTCTAGAGAACACAGTTTGAAAGCCATTGATCTAGAATATCCGTTGTTAGGGAAATAGAATTCAAAACAATTTTTTTTTCTCTGAATCCAGAAACTTCTCCACAAAAGGTAGAAGGAAAACAATTTTATTGTTGAAAAAGTATTAAACCTGGGCATGATGCACATCACAGGCGGTTGCTAAGACATTGTGGAGACAGAAAGAAACCTCAGCCTTTGATATAGCCAAGCAGATACCACCCTTTACATACATGGTCTCAAGACAAATAATAACTAGTCCTCAGGTAAGAAGTCTTGACAGCACCATTGGTCACAAATAGTTCATTCTAGATTCACCTGTTAACTGGAGTGACTATTCATGTTAGTTAATTGGCTTTATCCAGAGGGAAAGCAAACATCTCCTATTTTTATGTGCTCCTACCTTACAGCTTAGAGCAAGGTGCTCATTGAAATTAGGCTCCTTTCCTCCCACAGAAACTGGGAAATGGGGGGTCTATTTCCCTTGATGTTTAGATTTCAAAAACTAGGTCCCGAGTTCTTGAGAAAGACTTCCTAGATCACAAAGTTGACAATAGGTTTATTTAGTTTCTAAAAAGATTTATATATACTTCAAAGAAACAGAAAAAACTTAGTTACGTGTTTTATTTAAAATTAAATATTCTGGGGGCACCTGGGTAGCTCAGTTGGTTGAGGGTCCTACTGTTTTGATTTCAGCTCAGGTCATGATCTCACAGTCATGAGATTAAGCCCTGCGTCAGGCTCTGTGCTGATGGCATGAGACTGCTTGGGATTCTCTCTCTCCCTCTCTGCCTGTTCCCTGCTCGCTTGCTCTCTTTCTCTCTCTCTCTCAAAATAAGTAAATAAACATTTTTTAAAAAGTAAATGCTCCAGGTAACAAGTTTGGGGGAAAAGTCTCTTCCCTTTTCAACAGGGGAGATCAAACTTATTTTTAGTTTGTACTTGTCCCTACATCCTTCAGATATAGGCAGCTGATTTTAAAAAATAAAGACAAAAACAGAACAAAATCTAAAACCCTGTTTTCCACCAGAAGGATGTGACGGTTTTGGAGAAATGGGTTTACAGAAAAATAAATGCCCTCCTGATCTCAGTTCACATCCATTGGAGTAAAGCAGATGTTTCTGACCCTATAACTGGTCTGTGATAAGCCTGCTTCAAACCTTTGGCCCACATTTCCCAAAAGCATCACCCAAAGGGTGAACCTTTCTTCCTCTGGCTCTGAGGACTCAGAAGTATTACCATATCCCACGCAGCTAGAATAAAAGAGTTCAAGGAAGGAGGACGTTGACTTAGAATCATATATTGTTGAAGCCCAAAGGTGTCTGAGAGATCATGCAGTCCGATGTTTACCGAAGGGTACACTGATGGTATGTGTGTATCTGAAGTCACTTAACTCACAAGTCAATGTCTACAGTAGAACAGAGGAAACAAGTAGACTATTTCTCGTCTTGCAAACAAGCTCTGTGCCCAGATGCGGTATCTCTGGTCTCTAGGGGTGTGGAATCTGGGAAGGGGCACAGAAATGCTGTATACGAGCAATTGCATTTGGGATTCAGTGCCCTCTCAGCTCTGCAGTAACTGCTCCTTCATCCCCCTCTCCTGTTATGTAAAGCAAACATGATGAAGTCGTTCTGCTGTTAGGGATTACAGAAGACAGTGACATCAAAGAGACTCTGGCTGAATTTAGAAGGCCTAATATAAAAGAAAAACAAAATGAAGAGAAGGAAACATCTGTAGCATTAAAAACTTGGGAATGCCTGAAGACTGTCATCCATTCCCACTTTCATTTTGCAGATGGGAAAGTAAATGAAGAGAAACTATCTCCCTGCCTCTGCAGGGGCAGATATATGGCTTTAAAGGACAGGCAGACCTTGGCTTGTAACATCAGACCATTCCAGATCTACAAGGTTGTTCAATTTCACTTGGACCATATTTGTTTTCTCTTCACTTCAGCAGTTCACACCCCCACTGCCCCTGCCCCGCCATCATACATGGTTGATATGATGTATACGGACCCACATATTGTTACCATATTGTAGGCCATACGACCACTGGGACCAAGCTTGCTGAAGACAACCTTGAGTTCATACCTACTCCAGTTGGTTGTTGAAAGATTATAAGATTTTATGGGGTAAATATGCATCACTAAGGGCTCCTGATAACTCAAAACACAAGGCTATTCCCTAAGGAACAAAGGGTTTGAACCCCATATTGGGCATCCCAACTTTTAAGACATACACCTGAGACACGATCCCCCAAAACATCTAACTTTGCAAAACCAGTGAGGTTTGTGTTCTAAGACTTACAAAACTCTAACAATCTGCATAACTGCTCTTACAGGACTTCTGGGCTCAGAGGCAGATCATCATTCCCAGGCTTAAAGTGAAGGAGGCTCACCTGCTTATATTAAAACATTATCCTGAGGGGCAGGCATCTAATTTAACACATGCATCTAGAAGCCTGGTGGAACACTCTTCAGGGAGGGAGGCTGGCAGGCAACATCTCTGTGCTCTCCTTTTGCTGTGCTCCAGAACACCAGCACTCCGGCAGGGGTTGGGGGGGGGTACTTTTACATGCGTCTGTTGCCCTGATTTGTGTGGCCTCCATTTAGGGGATGCCTCTTGACTTCCTGGCTCTGGAGGCCAAGAAAGCTTGCATTTCTGGTCCCATGAGGCTGCAGTAATCAATGTCACCCAGAAAGGAGCTCGTACCCCTGTCTGGTACCCCAATTTTTGCAACTGCTACCAGGGGACACCTCCACATCACCTGCCTCTAATGGCCAGTGGGGCGTACTTCCATGGGCCCCCCAGGACTGTAACCAACAGAATATTCAAACAGCTACCACCCCGAAGGCATAGCAGAAGTCAGCAGACCCAGGAACTCAGTCTTTCTGTGAAGGAGGCCTGTTAGGTAATCATCATGACTGTGGCTAGAAGGGCAGGTTTCTAACTCAACATGATAAAGGGGTCAATCCAACAAGAAGATATACATATCCATGTATATTTGTACATATCTATGAACCCAACATTGAAGCACCTAATTATATAAAGCAAATATGAACATACCTAGAAGGAGAAATAGACAGCAACATGATAATAGTAGGCAACTTTAATACCTCACTTACATCAATGGATGGATCATCCAGACAGAAAATCAACAAGAAAATATTGGCCTTAGATGACACATCAGACCAGATGGACTTAACATATGTTACAGAATATTCCGCCCAGAAGAATATACATTCTTCTCAAGTACACATGAAACATTTTTCAAGATAGATCGTATCTCAGGCTGTAAAACAAGTCTTGATAAATTTAGGAGGATTGAAGTCATAGTTCACCTTGATTAACATAGTTTCCCAACTTACTTGAACATGGAACAGTTTTTTGAAGACATGCCTATGTGTGTGTGTATGTATGTATGTATGTATTCATATCCTAAGGACACCAATTGGGGAAACACTGCAATTGTTGCCCAGACACATGCTATTATTGCCTTATAGACTCTTGAGCTTTTGACAGTGGTGTTAGTGTATAAGGTTATGGCTAACATGGATCATACTATTTTCATTTGAAGTCTCGAGGGCACAGCATGGCACCAGGTCACGTCCCCTGCAGAGAGCTCTCTCAGGTTCCCCTTACCCAAGCCTGGGATAGGTTCTCTTCTGCAGAGACACCTGCCGACGTATCTACCACTGCATAACAAATCATCACAAAATTTAGTGGCTGGAAACAACTTACTATATCCGATAGCTCTGGGAGTTGACTGGACTCTGCTGAGCAGCACTTTCTTGGGATTTGTCATGCTGTTGCAGTCATAGAGCAACTGGGGCTGGATCATCTGAAGACTTGACTGGGTGGAGGTCCAAAATGATACCTCCAGTTAACTGGAAGTTGCTACTCATCAGATGAAAGGTCTGCTAGGGCTGTCAACCAGATTACCTACCTGTAATTTCACCACTTGGCTTGGGTTTCTCATTGCACGGTGACTGTGATCTGTGAGAGAACATCGTCTAAGAAATCCAGCCAGAAGCTGGTCTTATAAGGGAGGAAACATTTTCCTTCTACCCTTCTAGGTTTTGTGACTGGTCTAACCATTAAAATAACGTGAGACAGAGTACCAGGAGAAAAACAAATTGAATTATGTACATACTTCCGAAATCCCCCACAAGGTTACGAGGCTCAAAAGGAGACTGGCAGTTGAGGCTTATCTAAAATCTTGAGCTAAGAAAAGGGATAGGGCTCTGGAGCCGCAAATGGAAGGAAGGCCATTCACAAGAAGGCAAGGGGAGGAAATGTTTGGAAAACATCTCTGGTTCTCAATTACACAGATAAGTTTCCTAAGTAAAAAGTTATTTCTGGTGTTAAGTCTCTTTCTGGCACAGGCCCCCTTTTTAATGTAAATTTCCTTTGTAATAGCAGTTAAGCAAGAGGTAAAGAGCTTTTCCTGAGTCTGCTGGGTGTTGGTTACCTTTAGCTCAAAATAATCCTCATGCCAAAGTGGCAAATTTTGGGAAGACTTGTTCTGAACCCCTTCAGTTTCTTAAGCCCTAAGCTGAAATCCCTGAACATCATTCCCATTATGTTCTGTTGGTCAAGTAAGTCACTAAGGCCAGCCTATATCCACAGGTAGAGAAATTAGACTCTACCTAGCTAGACTCTACCCTTCATCTAGACTCTACCTAGATGAAGGGATAGCAAAGAACCTGTAACATTTTCTTTTATACCTATCAAATCACTTGGTACTGTGTATTACAGTTGCTTGTTTACTTGAACTTCTTTCCTATTACACTATCACCTCTTTCATGGTATCGCTGTTTTTGGTGTCCTGGTCATTGCTGTATCTTACTAATTAGGAATCAATGAATGTTGAATAACCAACTGATTGAAGGAGTGAGTGGTGAACAAAGGAAACAAGGAATGTAAGCTGACCTTTACAAAGTTTAACTGTGAAAGTGATATCAATTTGTGAGATTTTTTACATTTTTATTTACCAAAATGAAATACACTTGAGCATATACAGAAAGACAAGAGCTAATAGAGAAACTGAAATTATAAGGAGAACGGAGGGTGGGTAGAGCCACGTTCTTTATGAGATCCGAAGGATAGGATCCAAAACAAGGTGAAGGAATTGGCCTCCTGAAAGAGGAGAATTATCTCCAGTAGCATACAAAGGAGAAAGGAAAGGCTGTGGGTGGTAGAGATAAGCTTGTGAGCAGAGAGGGAAGAACTGGGGGATGAGGTCTGATGTCTGATCCCCTGAAACAATGAAAAATATGGGAAGAAAGTAGACCTGCATTCTAGCTCTAAATTCCCTAATTTCTTCGGTGATTTTTCATTCAATATCGCTACATTGTGCCAACTATGTACACATGATGTAGCACTGTGCTAGTGATTTCCACCAATAGTGGAGTGAGCCTATCAGTCCCCAAACATTTTAAAGGACTCTTCAAACTTGATTATAGAAAATGAGTGATGGGCATTGAGGAGGGCGCTTGTTGGGATGAGCACTGGGTGTTGTATGTAAGCGATGAATCATGGGAATCTACCCTCAAAACCAAGAACACACCTTATACACTGTATGTTAACTAACCTGCTAAATTGACAATAAATTATATTGAAAGAAAACAAAACAAAAGAAAACAAAAGAAAAGAGAAAAAGAATATGAGCTTGGCGCCCGGTTACCTCAATTGGTAGAACATACAACTCTTGATCTCGGGGTTGTAAGTTTGACCCCATGTTGGGTGCAGAGACTACTTAACAATAAAATCTTTAAAAAAATTTTTTAAACCTCACTCTAGTTATTTAAATATACATTATTTAGAAGCAAAATGAATTTGGGGAAAATCCTAATGACCCCACTACTATCATTCACCCTCCTCATGACTCCTATTTACTACCACAAAGTCACAAAGAAATTTACAGTTGACAGTAGCTTAAGAAAGAACAGAGGGAATAAGGAGGGGGGGGTTGTTGAATTTGATTAATAACAAAAGACAGTTTGAAAGTAAAATATATACACTAAATTCCTCCTTCTAGAGCCCAAAGTCAAGAAAAACTTTGCAGTCTCTAATGAACTTATATTTTTCTTTTAATTGGTTAATGAAATAATTTTTTTCTTTTTCCATCACCAATAATATCATCCCTTAACTTAGAATATGATTACAATAATTATCTCATCCTGAGTATTTACATATATACCTCTCCTTTTTGTATCTTATTTCTTGTATTTTAAAAATATTTTTATTGTCTTGCTTATTCAAACTAAGCGTGGAAGTTATTTCAAAATTGCATTGGAGGTATGCAGGGTACACATTCATTTTTAAATAAATGCTCGGCAGAAGTGGTAGAATGATCTGGTCACTAAGATAGTCAATCCATCAGCCCTGAAGCAATACTCATCTTAGTACAGCTCCACCAAGCTGAACAAGTAAGAAAAATGGATGAAATAGCACACTGAGATAGTTGCTATAGGTCATGTAAGAAATTAATTCATGGAGCTATCAAGTGTGGTAAAATGAAGAAATCTTCCAGAATTCTAGACACTACTTGAAACAACTCAAAATGAACTGTTCCCTGCATGATGTCATATCTTCATACAAATATCGGTCTGATCCTATAGAATCCACAAGATATTCTCCATTCAATTATAGGTAGAACAGATCATTTGAGGCTAAGACTGCAAGCTAACTCTAAACATAGAGAAGCAATTATGCATAATTCATGGATTTATGTATTTCGCAACTATTTACGTATTAACCACTATGAACTAGGTACTGTACTGGGAATTAGGGATACAAAGAGACAGAAAAAGACGTGATTTCTCACTTCATGGATCTTAGACAGTAAAAGAGCCAGGTATTTGATAGGAGGGATGGTACATATAGTGGGCTAAATGGTAGCACCAAAGATATGCCCAGGTCCTAATCCTTGGAACCTGTCAATATTACCTTCTATGGCAAAAGATGTGATTAAGTTAAAGATCTTGAGAGAAGGAACTTACCCTGAATTACCCAAGTCAAGCCTACATGCAATCACATATGTCCTTATTAAAGCAAGGCGGAGAAAGAGAAAACGGATGCCCAGAGGAGAAGATAATGTAAAGATGGAGGCAGAGACAGGACACCTGGGTGGCTCAGTCAGTTAGGCATTCAACTTCAGCTCAGGTCATGATCTCACGGTCCATGAGTTCAAGTCCCATGTTGGGCTCTGTGCTGACAGCTCAGAGCCTGGAGCCTGCTACAGATTCTGTGTCTCCCTCTCTCTCTGCCCCTCCCCTACTCATGTTCTGTCTCTCTCTCTCTCTCTCTCTCTCTCTCTCAAAAATAAACAGTAAAAAGAAAAAAAGATGGAGGCAAAGATTAGACTGGCAGCCACAAGCCAAGGAACACAAAGGAATGCCTATAACTGCAAGAAACTAGAAGAGACCCAGATCAGATTCTGCCACAAAGCCTACAGAGAGAGTGCAACTCTGTCAACATTTTGATTTTCAGACACTGGCCTCCAGAACTGTGACAAAAAAATTGCTCTTGTTTTAAGCCACCAAAGTGGAGGTCATTTGTCCCAGACACTAATGCAGTATACAGATTACTATATAGTTGCAATTTGTGATAAGTATCAAAAATGAAATACACAGGATAATGTAAGAGTGTAACATAGAAATCTACTTCACATTGAGTGTAGTGGGGTGGGAACCATGGGGAACAAAGTAATTACAGACTCAGCATGTGGAATTTTGGGTGACTAATCATAATGCTAAACAGAGGCCCATATTGGTATGCAGCAAAAAGAGCAAAAATATATATATATATAAAGAGCAAAAATAATACTACCGTGCTCTCAACACAATACAATGAAACTAGTAGACAGTAACAAAATGTAAGACCCCAAAACAAAAAGGTTTCCCACCTGGCCTACATAAATAAATAAATAAACAATGTGTGTTAAACAACCTTTGTGACAAAGGAGAGATACAAAACAAAACATATCCGAACTTGTAGGGTATAGGGGCCCCTGGGTGGCTCAGTCGGTTAAGCGTCTGACTTTGGCTCAGGTCATGGTCTCACGGTGAGTTTGCGCACCGCATCAGGCTCTCTGCTCTCGGCACAGAGCCTGCTTTGGATCCTCTGTCCCCCTCTCTCTCAAAAATTAAAAAAATAATTAAAAAAAATAAAAGAACTTGTTGGGTATAGCTGTAAAAAAATGCTGAGGAGGGGCGCCTGGGTGGCTCAGTCGGCTTAGTGACTGACTTCCGCTCAGGTCATGATCTCATGGTTCGTGGGTTTGAGCCCCGTGTCAGGCTCTGTGCTGAACGCTTGCTCAGAGCCTGGAGCCTACTTCAGATCCTGTGTCTCCTTCTCTCTCCCCCTCCTCTGCTTATGCTCTGTCTCACTCTGTCAAAACTAAATAAATGTAAAAAAAATTTTTTTTAAATAAATAAAATGCTGAGGACAATTTCTAGCATTAAATAAAATTTTAAAATAAAACAGCTAAACACATAATTCAAAAAGCAATACACAGAACAGCAAATGATAACAAAAGACACCAGAAAGAAGTAATTAATAAATATAAAAGAATTTAATGCTAGAAAACAAAACTGACAGTCAGTAGGTGAATCAATCAATCAATCAGTGTTGGAGGAAGGGGAAATCAGCAAAATGTGTAACAATTTCTGACTTGATTTTTTTAATGGTAAAGTGAAGAATGTACAAAAATAAGTAACAGAAAGAAAGATACAACTGCTGATACGTATTTTAAAAATCCCAAACGAAACTCTACTAAAGACAGAAATTACGAACCAATTTTCATTTTTAAAAAATGAGAGTGTTTTCAAAAAACTCCTTTCCAAAAAA